TCTCTTGTATAAAATTTCTGTAACCTTAAAACATTGTATTCTTTTACATTTGATTTTGAATTTTCTTATTTCTTTACATAGGCTTCCCACTGTTTATAATCTACACTTATGTTAGCTTTATTTCATTTTGTTGTATGTCGTTGCCTTGAGTAAATTACGTTCAACCAAAAAAAAAAAAAACATATAAAAGGAGGAATTGATCAATAAGTCTATAGCCTCAAGCACACTTATTAGCCGAGTTTGATCAAGTTTACATTCTCTAATGTATTATCAGTCTTATGTGGTTAATGGAGAAGTGTTGTCAATGCACTTGCATTAAAAAATAAATATTTGCTGTGTCAAAGAAGTGCTTTTTTCATCATTAGGCTCCAGACATATTGATGTACCTACATTGCATGTGTACAGATCGAGGTCACACTGAAAGTAATACCTACTATTTTGTTATGTTGGTCGTATAGTCACAGAGCTTGAATGCCTGAACCAATAATCCATAATTTTTATTTATTTCTTTTTACAATATTGCAAATAGCAGCTGAGCAGCATTCTGACAAAATGCTATCTGAAATGAAATTCAAGGTGTTTCATAGAATTCTTATAAAATAAAAGTTGGTCTGAAAGTCAGTTTTGAGAAAAGACTGATACAAATAACTAAATTCACTGATGTCTCTGTTCTCTCAAGCTTTGACTGTATCGTCTTGCTCTTTCCCTTATCCCTTCCAATCTTTATTGCCCATTCATGCGGTTAATTAATCTTATCCAAACACAAATTAGTTTCATATGTAAAAAGGAATGAACAAATATTTTCTACTGCACCCATTCTTTTGCTCTATCACACCATAAGAGAATTTAATGTAACATATATCTTTTTTATGTCTTTTCCATCACTACCTGTTTTTCAAGCTTTTGTTTATTGATATCAAGCTAGCAAATTTCTGTCACTTTTGTCTCTATTTCTTCTCTCTCTCATATATATATATATATATACATACATGTCCAATGGATGAATTGTCCTCATTTTATATTTTTAATTTCACACATGCGTGTTGTTTTTGATTTTATCAACTGAGCAATATAGTTGGGCACTGTCTGCAAGAAAAAAAACCACCATGACACAATTCACTTCGTCAGAAATTTGGAAATGGCATACTGATTGCTTGGCATTTGTGCTGGAAGCTCCAATCGAACATTTCAGAGTATCTGAGCACCAGTCTGCAGACAGTGCAGAAGATTTCGAAAAATTGGATGAATCTAATGATGTTTATGAAGGTGTTTCAAGTGATCACTAGTGATGACAACATTATGCCTCCATTCATCTTCCTACAGAGCCACACTCAACATGGAGGCTTACATCAAGTACCTTGAGGAGGTAGTGCTGCCCTGGATCAAGAGGGTAGCTGCTGGAAGACCCTATGTCTAGTAACAGAGCTATACAAGCAGAACCAAGTGATGGCTGTCAGAAAATTTCTGTAACCCCATTGCCCTTTACATCTGGCCACCTAACTCCCTAGATTGCAACCTCCTTGATTATTATGTGTGAGGAGCAAGAGATCAACAAAACTCCTTGTTACACCAAATTGAAGTAAGGATTATGGCAGCATTCACCAACTTAAAGAAGGAGACTCTCCACAAGAGACCTTCTAAAGGTACTGATGTTGCTGGATTACAGAGATTAAATTTTTCCATTGTCCAATCCCTCACCCTAATTGTGTATTTCCCCACTCATTTCCCTAGTCAAACCAAACAACATGCTTTTCCATTGGATCTATTTCTTACCTCCTCTCCCCACTCTTGCTAAGCTTCACAATACTGCCCTCTTGGTAACTTGAACCACTCTGTGGTAACTATTGATATCCAAGCATCCCACAAACAGGAACCTCCTACCCATAAGACATTTCTGCTGCCAGCATGATGATTGAGACTCATTCTGGGATTTTCTTTCTGATGCCTCCCTTGGACTCTCTATGGTTCACATCAATATGCACAGCCACATTAGCACACAGGAATCATTATTTCTGTTTATGTCGGCAGGACTGAGGCTCTGTTGAGTGATATGTATATAAGTCCTATAGTTTCTGCTGTTATCTCTAACCTTGATCCCCACAAAGCATGTGGACCCAATGGCATTCCTGTAACAGTCATTAAGAAGTGTGCTCCCAAACTAGCTTCCTGTTCTCTCTTAACTGAATAATAAATGCCTCGCTGCTTTCCTGCTTGCTGAAAGTCATTGTCTGTTGTTCCAGTTTTTATGAACTCTGGTGAACCGTCTGACCTCATCCAACTATCTGCCTATTAGCCTTCTGCCTCTGTTTGGGAAACTTCTAGAGACCCCAGTCAATGCTGAATTGGTTCATCATCTCTCATCACAGCCTTTTCTCTGTTTATCTAGATCAACTGCTGATGTACTAACAATAATCGTAGAAAGAGTCTCTCATCCTTTAGATAAAAATGGTGAAACCCGGGCTGTAGCACTGGACATCTTGATATCCTTTGACAGGTTCTGGCATTCAGGTCTTCTCCACATGCTGAAAAGCTACAGTATCTCTGGGTACGTTTTTGAACTCATCCAGTCTTTCCTATCAAATTGTGAAATGAAAGTTATCCTGAACTGCCACTCGTCTACATCTTTTCATACTAACACGGATTTGCTCCAGGGCTACATCCTTGGTTTGACACTGTTTTTAATCTTCATTAACAACCTTCCCAATGATATCAGCTCTCAACTTGGCAACTATACTAACAGCAGTACCATTTACTCCTGCCTCAATAGTAAGGCTGATCAGTCAGACAAGATCAAAATGGCAGCCGATGTACAAAATGACCTCAAGACCATCATTAACTGGGGTAAGAGATGGCTTGTCAATTTTAACACCCCCAAAACTAAACTGTTTCCCATTAATCATCTGAGAGACCCCTCTCTGCCTTCCATCAGCATCACTGATGCTATCCTCCAAGATAGCATGTGACTCATTGCACTTTCTTGGCCTAACATTCTCAGCTGACATGAAGCGGAAAGACTATATTGAATCCATTGCCAGATCAGCTGCTAACAAAGTCGGTTTCACTGTGTTGAGCGGGGCAATTTTTCTCTTCAGAATCTATCATTCATCCATGCTTAGAATATTGCTGCTACATATGGTCCAGTGCCCCTGCTATTTTCCTGGAGCTCCTTGATAAGCTTCAAAGAAGAATCAGCAATATTATTGGTCCTGATCTTGCAGCTTGACTTCAGTTACTTGCCCATTGCTGTAAGGTTGCCTTTCTGTACCTTTTTTATAAACATTTTCATGGTAATTGTTTGGATGCTATGGTACCTAGACCTTTTGAATTTAAGGGCAATACTAGACTGGCAGTGAGATCTCAATTTAAAGTTAAGCTAGCTAGATGTAGCTGTAACTTCTATGCTAACAATTTCTTATCCCACACTTATCGCTTGTGGAACTCCCTCCCAGCTCCATGCTTTCTAACCAACTTCAATCTGCAAAAATTTAAATGCAATGCCAATCGCTATCTATTGGCTCCTGATTGCTCTTTTCTTTCTTCTCATTACTAATGTTTTTGTTCCTAATTCCTCCAGACCTTGCATGCTAGTGGCTGTACTTTCTTGCTTGGAGTGATAGCGATTAAAAGAAGGAAAAATTATTTTATTCATTACTTTAAATCTTTTGTTTAGGATTTTTATCTTTAATGAATAGCGGCTCTGATTGAGGAATAAGAGAATCAAGTTCAAATTCCAGTTGAATCCATTACATTCACTTACGTGCTAATACCCTTAGGAAAAGTATGAATCCTCTTCTTCTCCCCCCCATCTATTGGTAAATAGCAGGACAGACCAGGTACTATAGCCTTGGATGACAACTGGTCTACACAGAAAGAAATGGCAACCTACTGCAGGAAAAAATCTGCCTCATCAGTCATATATTGAAAGATACATGATCGCCTAAATGGGTATCACACATGGCACATAAATGATCTTGTTCCAGAAATGTGTTGTGGCCATTTTCTTCTCTAGGCAAAAGGTTAGGTCATTATGATTATTTTGAATTGTAAGCTGATGTTGATTTTTTATGTTATTTTTGGTGTGGTTTTTAGAGTTAAAATATAGATTTTGAGGTGGGGGGGGCATGCTAGTTGCATATTTTTATTGTTAAATGATGTTTTGTGTGAGGAGATTCTCTGTTTCTACATTAACAAATAAAAATATTTTGGCAGTAAGGAAAAAAAATGTCATTCAGTGTGTGTGTGTGTATATATATATATATACATACACACACACACATATATATACATACACACACACACATATATATACATACACACACACACACACATATATATATATATATATAGTGCATGAAAATATCAAGATTTACATTGGTCAGGAAATTATCTAAGTCTTATTGATAGAGCTATTATCATTTGCTATTCTACTAGCCAGAACTCACTATCTCCTTTGAATGACATGTTCTATGACAAATCTTGCACAAAAATTGCCTTGTCATGTTTCAGCTGTTCTTGCCACTGCTATTATGTTTCTTATTTGGCTTTGGCATTTGATCTTCACTTGATCTCAAATTTCTAGAATTAATGCATTATAAATCAGGAAGAAAGGAATTGTCAATGATCAAGAATTTATGCAAGTATTACAGAATAGGATCATTATATGCATAATGACATTGTTAAAAAATAATCTTTTTTTTCTGTTAAAATGGGAAGAACTGATAGCAATTGTTCTTTTCAATCTGTTATTTACTTTTTACAGTTATCCATTTTTCTGTCTGCAGAAATTAGCCTCATTATCTGCCATTGACTGTACAGATAGAAAACAAATGTCATTTCTATATTCGGTGATAATTTCTGACCCATTTATTTTTAAGGTGCTGTAATTTCTTTGTTGAAGTACAGAAAAAAAACATTGGTATCTTTATAAATTGCTTTATTTGATATCTTTGTTCAACATTTCTTTAAAGAGTTTTATAATTACTGTTTGCTTTTGTTTTCAGAGCACACACAGATGCCTGCTTATTCATGGGATGTTAAAGAGAACGATGCTTTTGAGAAGCCTAATCCAGTAAATACACTCAAATCAAAACTTTAAAACTGACTTTTCATCCATGTGTATATTGCAGCTTTATATTATGAAATGAGTAGTACAAGTTTGATTCAATCATAGAAATATCTCAAATTGACTGTTTGCTGCATTTCACCCAATCATCTTTCAATCTGGATTAACCAAGAAATTCCAAATTTCAACATTTTTTAGACAATTGAAAATCCTCTTCATATCTTATAATTAAAATTCATAATTCAAAGAAAAACTCAAAATGTTTGGAAAATTTTCAAAATTCAAATAAATTTTTAAGTTTTGTGTTTGTATTCTTAATCTATTTCCATATTCATTCATATGAATTTTAGTTTTATTCTGAACTAACAGGCTTCACCCACTCACTATCACTTTGCAATGTAAGATATATTCACTACTTGAAATCTTTGAAACAAAAATTTTAAATGACATTTCATTCATAAATTGGCTTTTTATAGTTAAGGAAAGTTTTACTCATAGATGGCAACTTGTTGAAGGTCAAATAAAATGCAAATTTCAAACACTTTGCTGACCTATATAAGACAATATTCCTAAACAGAACTATTTTTGATAAGGAAAAAATAATCCTCGAATAAAAAGACAGTAATGATAGACAGTTAATTAATGAAATATACTTTTTTAAAGTCAGCATGCAAATTAGTTAAACCTGAAAAGTGGTATTGCCTAGATGTAGATAATATATAATTCAGATTTTTGGAGGGATTTCGCATTATTTCAGTTGCGTCTCTGTCCTCAGGGGCTTCTCTATCAAAGGACAGAGGGGCAACTGAGGAAAATTATATTGAAGGGGTGCCCAGCCCTGGGGAACAGCTGCCCGAGGCCGTGCCCTCCCATTGCACAAGAGGGAGGGATCGGTGCTTGCACAGAGGCCAGTGCAACTGACGGTTTCGAGGGCTGAGGGGAATTTTTGTCCCTGCCGGGGTGTACGCGCTCGGGTCCCCACATTAAACCGACCTTGTGTCACATCATGTTCTAGTGGGGGAACGAGTAAATACCAGTGTGTAAATTCCTATTCCTCCTTGGTACGCACTCGGATACTTAACGGTCACAGGGCTCTGTCCCTGTGCTGGTGGTATCACGGCTATGACTAGCTTGGACCGGCTCTGACCAGTTTGGATCAGCTATGACTAGCTAAGACCAGCGTCCCGAGTGAAAACACTTGGGTCCCCTTATTAAAAACTGACCTTGTGACACAACCTGACCTAGTCGGGGGAGTGAAGTAAATACCATGTAAATTCCTCTTTGGAGGGATGTACACATTCGGATCCTTACCAGTCACAGGGTCCTGTCCCTGTGACTGGTGGTATCATAGCTATGACTAACTTGGACTGGCTCTGACCAGCTTGGACCAGCTATCACAAGCCATAACCAGCTATGACTAGCTCAGATCAGCTCTGACCAGTTTGGACAAGCTATGACCAGCTTAGACCAGCGGCCTGAGTGAAAACACGTTAAAAACTGACCTTTGGTCACAACCTGACTCAATGGGGTGTCAAGTAAATACCATGTAAATTTCTTTGGAGGGATTTTCAATGCAGGCTTATCATCTCCCAGTTGCATCTCTGTCTTTGGGCAGAGTGTGCTCAGGGGCTTCTCTGTCAAAGGACAGAGGGGTAACTGAGAAAATAATACTGAAGAGGTGCCCAGCCCTGGGGAACAGCTGCCTAGGCTGTGTCTTCGCATTTCACCAGAGGGAGGGATCAGGGCTCACACTGAGGCCAGCGCAACCGACAGTTGCACGGGGGCTGAGGGGAATTTCTGGTTCAAGCTGGTCAGAGCTAGTCATAGCTGTGATACTACCAGTGCAGGGAAGTATCCAAATGTGTATAAAGTTGTAATCTTTGAAGAAACTTTGAGATCAGATATGGTTAGTCATGTGTAGCAGAGAAAGGAAGCACTATAATCCCACTCTTCATATTCACTGAAGTTTATAATGCATTTCCTTTGTTTGGCAAATGTGAAGAGAATGTAACAAAAGTAAATTAAAATAAATACATAAAACTGAAGACAAAAATTGATGCATAGAGTTTATTGATACAAAATGTTTCCAAATTATGTACAATGGAGGCTTTCATGTTCTTAGTTTTTAATTTATATATGAATTTTCTTTTCAGTGTAAATATTCATAAATATATAAATATAAACATTATTTTCTAATGTCAAACCTTATTAAAGAATTTTTACAATTGGTATCAAATGAAACATTTTTTGCAACAGATTTATTCAACTATTTTTAGAATCTAATATGAAATGCAATTTATCTTTTACCTGAAGTTCCTTTTTCTACACTTTAGAAACTTCTAGTAATATTGGATCTTTTCCAATAAGATTACAAATTTATGAGAACACTCCATTTTTTTTTTCACAAATAAATTATCTAGTGTGCATCAGAAAATTTTTCTTTTAATATCAAAAATACAAATCTAATGAAACCCTTTTCTGTAGAATTTCAGAGATAGAAAAACGTATCAACCCTCTCCATTATTATAAAGGTTTACTTTAGAATTAGGGTTTAAAAAAAAAAAAAGAAGTCAGCTGAGTCATAGGCATCATTTATATGCATTTGCATCCCTCAATTTTAAGAATTCAATTTTTGTCACAACAGCAAAGGGATCACAAAATATAGACCAAGCTTCTGTCATCATTTTAAAGCAATAATCTGCCTCTGACAGTGACAGCTTGGTTATTTCTAACAAGTACATAATCTGAATCCTTTATTTTTCTCTTGTTAGCACCCAAAGTATCATGGGATGGAAGACAACAACACTCATATTCATCTCAGCCTTTAATCATGAATATTAATCAGGCAGTCATGTGACATTTGCTTTGGAAAATTCCATGCATGTTGACCCAAATAAATGAAAACTGGGTCTGGCATACAAAACATGTATACAATTAAAAAAAAATTATTTGGGTTGTATTACTGCATAGATATTTCATGACTGCTTATGTTCATTGCCTTTAAAAAGGCAATGAAATTTCAGATTATGAAACTGAGAAAACATTTGTCTCTCATTCGCAAATAAGATGAAAACGTTAAATTTCTATATTGCACGAAATAGCATTTGTTGCAACATATCAGTAAAAAAAATAAAAATGTAAGAGAGACAACTCTGGAGGTCTTGTTACTTATTAAAGTCAATAAATTATTAAAATATATAAACCACTGTGGCTTTGAGCTGAGAAATTTTCATGAGGAGGGGTTATGTAGCAAAAAGGCGTTTTTTTTGTTTTTTTTAAACTTTTGTCTTAAAAGGTCAATGATGCCAACTTAAATGCAAATCCTTACCCATCAATTTTCCATAATAATAAATATGTTATTGCAAAATTAAAATAAGTGTTACTATTTGGGAGATGAAATAAAAAAAAAAATAGCAACAGCAGCTGCAAAACACATACTATGAAACTAATTCTTTGTTGAATTAAAAAAAAAAATCTAAGTTTCTAATAAATAAAATCTACCATAATCCACTGATTGCTCACCAGGACCTTACAGTAATGAAGTATTGTTGATAATGATGATTATGTTTTTGACAACTTTAACTTTTGTTTGAACTGGCTTTTATTACTTTCTAAATAATCTGCTATTACTGTTTTTTCATTGTGTTAACTTCATTTATTGAAGTAAAGAATTAATGCCTCAAGAATCATTGTTTACCAACCTACTGCTGTACTTGCTGGCCCATAAGATGCGGGGGTGGGGAGACTATCACAGAATGTAATTCATCCAAGCCCCATTATTATTTCAAATTTTTAAAGATGGAGACCCATCTCCCAGTCATAATATCAAAACACTGGATGCAGTGAAATATTTGTATAATTTTTCTTTTTAATCAGCATTTTATAGACCAGCAAATACAGCAATTAATTACTTTGAATTTATTTCAAATTTAATTGAATTTTCTTCCCAGTTAGTAAATACTTTTCTTTGTGATATTAACCCTAGAACACTAATATAGTACCCAGCGCAAATTTTCCTATTTTTAATTACAATTTTCAGTACCTGATTTTGTTACCTAAATAATATTTTTCAGTTCCTATTAATGTTAACTCAAAGTACAAAGTTTGAAGTGTTTGCATGTAAAATATTTCAAATAAAGATTTATATTTAATATTTTTTTTGATATTTTCAAAATCAGGTATGATATACCCATGGTTAGTAATGGTGTAACTTTAATTGATGGTTAGTGTTCTAGGGTTAATATAGCAAAGAAGAATCTTGTATTATTCACTGATTTATCAAAATATCTAATGTTTTGTTTAGTAATCATCCCGATTTTGATTTGCTCCAAGGTGGAAATGAATTTAACAATTGCAATGTTAGTAAACTCGAAACACAAATTTAAAATCTCGGTTTATTTTTTATGAGATAAATTTGCAGTCAAGGATCTCTGGGTAAGTAAATTTAGCATTTCTCTAATGGCATTGGAAATTAAATTTAGTGGAGGGAATAATTGTGTCATGACATTTAAGATCAACATTTATACAAATGAAATAAAAAAAACTCAATTTGACTCAGGAAGAATACAAGTGATAAGTTAAATTCTCAAACAAATTAGTTTTTACAGCAGTTTTAATTTATTTTATTGATGAATGTTAAAAAAAAAAAAATCTATGATGGAATTGACAATGTTTGGAATTCTCCATTTTCTCGAAATTGTATTTTCATAATCAACAATGGAATTGTGTACAAACACATACATTAATATCAAATACTTTCACAATTCAGTTTCTGTCACACATACATACACACAGAGATCTCGCATATTGATTTTTTTTTTTTTTTTTTAGATCGGATGGACAAATGAAAATATTTATCGAAATATTTGGCCTCAAAGCCAAATTTTAAGAAAGAGACTACTTCACCTGACCAGCAGGATATATGAAGAAAGAAACGTTATTTCTGGTTGAATGATAATGTTTTGGGCTTGGTAGGTAAGAATTTTTGCACTGCACTTAATCCTATCACATCTACCTTTCTTGAAGGCCTCCCCAAACTCATAATCAATTGACTATGAGATGAGCACACCTATCAGCACCATAAGTGGATGCTGCTTTGACAATGCAGTGGCTGTAAATGTTAAAAAGCAAAACTACAATGCTTTTTCAGGTATTTAAATTTTCATGGGGCCACTGGTTATATTCAGGATCCGGTTACCTGAATATGACGAAAATAAATAATAGATACCAATTTAAAAGTATAATAAATTAATGTAGCTCAGATTTCTACTAAATCATTAGATAGAAAGATATTTAGTCACTTTATGATCACAAGAGAATGTGAGGATGCAAAAGTATTTCAGTGGTCATCCTTTATATTTAACAAAAGGATTTAATTTAATCAAATAAAATGTATCAGATACGGTTTAAAAAAAAACAAAAAAACAAAAACAAATGTGTCCTTATTGAAATATCAACTAAGAGGATGGATACAATAGTCCTGCTAAAGCAACTCCACTCACCCACTGATTATCATAACCCTCGTGAATTAGTGACACCTGAAGATGATCAGAAAGCAGACTGATCAAAATGAATTGTTATAAATATAAAAAAAAAAAGGCATTGGTATAATAGACAACTGAAAATTCCAAATTTCACCCATTAAACAGCCCAGAAAAGAGAGATTAGAAACTCAAGATGCTTCTCTTTGTTTGTTTTTCCTCTATTATCAGAAAGAGAGATTTAAATAAATAAATAAATAAGAGAAAATATAAAGCTTCTTAACATCAATGCGCCTTGGTTTTGAATGTGTGTTCAGAAAGAATTGTATGCTAGGACGACAGTAAATTAATTGCTGTTGTTCAACATGCGAATCTCCTTGGCAAGAACTTGTGTTATGCGCATTGCTCGCTTGATTTCATCTCCTCCAATTTGTTTCAGAGCAGCTTCAGCAGCATTACGAACATCAACAATTACGTCATTTCTCCTACAAAACATAAGAGAGAAATTAATTAAAAAAAGCAATAAAAGATGTTTAGAACAGTCATTGTAATTTCACATTAACCAATTCCACCCCAAATATTTCAGATTGAAACAGTCCTGTTTTTCTGTGTAATCAGAGAAAATGGTTTCTTTAGCAGAAGAAACTTGATCTACATAAAATGAGAACTCAATCACAACAACAAACTACAATTAAAACTAACATCAAGATTAAAACTGGCTTCCCTGTCTTTCTTATGACATTGCAAACACCATTACTGGTTTAGAAATGTAAGCTTTCACAAGTAAGCATCAACCAAAATATTATTTTATAATTCAGCTTGTTCTTTAGTTAGTTAACACATATATTCATCCTCCGATAGGAATCAAGCCTGTATCTTATACGAAACCGACATAGACTGACGTGCTTTTACCGATTGAGTCACAGAGGATCGTTCGGTTAGCAAGGTCAATTTTACTGTCTTTAAACTACTGTCAGAGGACGAATATTTTCTATGAAAATTTCTCAGACATTCAGGCCAGTAAATGTTGTTAATACTGTTTATTATAAACAGAGCATTTACTTGAATATTTGTATCTATAAAAGAATATATATGTCTTAAAATAATTGTCGGACTTTGTCCATTTCATAATGTGTGACGTCATTTGTTTACATTTGGATATGCATTGAGCAGATATGAATGTACATGAGAGAATCATGGAAGATTGTAGTTTAACACATATATGTTAGATCCTGTCAAAACCTCATAAATAATAGACTATTCTGTTTTGACCACAAAGAAATATAGAAAAGACATATCAGAGATGCTGTTTGGTTTCAGTGGGAAAAAGAGAAGACAGAGGAGGCTATAAATGCTTGTGTTTAACATCGGCTTAAATGAAATGGAAAAACTTGTCAGTTTCAAATTTTCATTTGTATCCTCTTATGCCTTTTAATGATGACCTGAATTCATATTTATGATGTTAATGTAAAAGTTGTTAAGCTTGAATAATTAATGATGGAAAAGGGAGAATTTCCACAGGTATTTTATAGTGATGGAACAAGGAGTTTATTCAGTCATTAACTTATGTGTCATGAGAAAATTCAAATGGCAAAACCCTAAAATTTTCACAGGTGCTTCTAGCATGTAACTGTATTTCATCAATATTCAAGTGATGCCTACAAGTGAAACCTTTTGAGGCTAAATGGAAACAGAGCTGTTATAGTAAGAGTTCCAAAGGATAAAAGAGGCAAGTTCAAACCTCACTGAAGTTTTATTCTTTATTTTCTACTCATAATGACTTGAGTTATGATAAAAAGCATCAGAAATAAAATAAAAAGGAGTAAAAAAAATAATGAAAATGCTTTATCTATAGAATTTATTGCTTTTTACTTTCAGTTACTAATACTTATTTTTTTCCACTGATACACTTTATATATTCAACCATATTTTTCCAGGTACAAAGAAATAGATTAAGAAAAATATCTTTATATAATGTATTAAAAACAAGTATAATTATTCACATATATGAAGGTGTCATTCCCAAGCACTTGTGGCTAAGATAAGAATATAATATCTGTGCACAGGCAAAAGTGTTTCACACAAAAATGGATACATGTTGTGCTTTATATGTGTATGCAATTTCTTTTCTAAAATGTTAAACTTTGGCACTTTTCAAGTAATTCACGTGTAGATAAATTGTGAATTGAACATTTTTTGTTTAAATGAAATATGATTTTTTTTTTTATATATGATCATCATTTAATACAGAAATAATATTAACATGTCACTGATATATATATGTATGTATATATATATATATATATATATATATATAATCAAAATATCTTCCGTCAAAGAAAAGAAGTAAATCAGAAATTATAATCACCATAAATGTAACAATTGGTCAATGGCATCTTTCACTTGTAAATGCCCAAGCGTCAAACATCCTGCCTCTCTGACTAGACGATCATCATCTTTCAGAACTTTAGTTAATTCTTCAATTTTTTCTTTCTCTGTTATTTCTGTTTGTGCTAAGGAAATTGTAGCCACCGATCGCACATTTGGCTCTGGGTCATGGACTGCGAGGTATATCAAGGCATCAATAACTGCTGAACTTTTGAATTTACCTGGAAAAAAAAAGAAAAGAAAAAAGTTATTAAAATCAACAGAACATATAAGTATTATCCTCTAATGTATAAACAGCATTTTTTGCTTGCATATTTTCTATATAGATTTGTATTAGTGGAAACTTTAAATATAAAATCATTACTTTTTAATTTTTAGAACACTCATCATAAGCCACTTTATTTAAAAAACGAAAAAGAAATAAAATTAAAAAAAAATTGAAGCTATTAAAACCTTAAATTTGAACAAAGTACAAATGTTTATCAAGTTTATCTCACAATCCAATATAGTAAGTTTAATAAAAAAAATTAAATTAAGGAAGAAAGTGGAATAATGAAAATATTTAATTTTGTAATTTTACTTATTGCATTTATTTTACACAGCAAATATTTATTTTCCGACATAAACTTCTTACTTGTTAATACACTTAAAATGTTGAATATTAATCATGGAGACTGAAGATTATACAATGAAAATTTCATAAAATTCAGTTAAATATTTGTCAGGCTACAGATTTATTGATCTACCATTTCATGTAATTTTTAACCATAAAACCTTTAAATACTGACTATATTCATTGTGTAAAATAAATGCTTTTTTTATTTTATTTTGTGAGGCTATACTTTCAGTTATGTATTTATAAATGTACAGGGAGAAATGATAAATAACAAAAAAAAAAAAATTCTAAGTTGAAAGGAAATAAAGAAATTGACAAAAGGCTATTTTCAAAATAGATCTGAGATGGTTTAGTGTTTTGGAAAAGAACCAGCAGGACAAGAAAGAAATATTTGAATACTAAGGCATGAAGGTCATTATCTAAAATATCAAAATCATCATTCAAAATAAACCAACATACTTAGGTTTTCAATGGCTTCCACACGAACATGAGAATCCATATTAAAAACTTCTTTCATGGCATAACTCTCTCTTGCTTGGTCTTCAATTTTCTGCCATAATGGGCAAAGTATGCCATCCACTGTACAAAATTCTGTAAAAGAAAAGAAAAATAATGATAAATATAAACTAAAACATTTCCCAGAAACATACAAGATATTTCAGTTAACAACACATTTAAAAAAAAAATGTTTCTAATTATGACATTGCCTGTGCAAAGTTTTCTGACAAAAGAAGTTTGGGATATATTTTAGAATTGTGAAGTGCGATGGTTAAAAAGAGAATCTTAGAAACTATTGATAAAAAGTTAAATTCTTACTAGATAATCCAGAAATTTATCTTTGTGCTAGATTATAAGCTAAACTTCAGTAAAAACAAAAAATAAGTAACTATTATTATACAGTGGTACTTAATTATGATCCTGTGTGAAACTAAATTTAATAAATATATACAAAGTTTACAATTTTAGCTTGTGTTTAGAGTTGTGGGATGCATACCCTTAACATTTTATATTAAAATTATATTTTAATATAAAATTATTAAAAATTTAATTAAATGTGATAAAAAAAAAACAAAAAAAAAAAACTATGTCTAACTTTTTTAGTTTATGTCCAAGACAATTCAATGAATGTAAGTCTTCTCCAAACATATGGAATCTGGCGCTTTTAATTATATTTCTGTACACTATCAAGATCATGGACAAATTTTAGATGTTATTTGTTTTTAATTTTGAAATATTCATTGGATCCAGATTTGTTCTTTTACATGTAAACAAGAAAAGTTAATTAAAAATAAAAATTCCTTGTTTATTGTTTTTAATTTGTATTTATACCTTTTATGTAAATATACAAATATATATTATATTTGTATTTATACTTTTTATCTAAATATACAAATATATATTAAATTTGTATTTATACCTTTTATCTAAATATACAAATATATATTTGTATTTATACCTTTTATCTAAATGCACAAATATATATTAAATTTGTATTTATACCTTTTATCTAAATGCACAAATATATATGGATTCTTATAGAATTAGGTTTGCCAAAAAATTAGAATTTTTAAGCCAATGATCCCTTATCAAAATCAACTTACCAATATACTTTTGTTTTGTTAAGATTCCAGATCGAGTAATACCCATTTCCCAGCATAGAAGAGATTTTAGCCAGCCTTGGTCATCAGCATTGTAGATGCTGAACAAAGTTTTGAATTCATTTACCAAGTCATACCAAAACCTTTAAAATAAAAAGAAAGAAGGTCATGAATTTTACAACTGAAGACAAAAATTTGCTTGTGGCTGTAAGTTATGTATTTGCAACTAAAGTAAGAGGTCAAATTTCAAACCCAAGTAAAAATGTGATTTCAAATGTTGGTTTTCAAGGCAGCCAGATTTTTACTGATGCAACACAATCTTCCTACCCCACCTTTCCATCTTGCTTTGTATTGTGCTATGTTGAGGCAAAAGGAAAACTCGGCAATCTATATTTAGCTAATCAATTCAGAATTAAATAATTAAATAATGATATTAAACAAGGGATTGATTTTGTTGAATATGTGTTTATAAAATTCAATATCCAATCATAAAAAAATTAAAAAAACAAAAGTTAATGCAATTCCATATTAATTTTTACTAAAACTGACTTAGTATGGACAAACTAGAAAAGAAAATTGTGTTATCCCAATTTTGCTTAGAAAATCAGCATTCAAAATCCTGGCTTTGTACCTGGGTGAGAACACCAACCTCTGACACTGGAAGCAACTATCTATGAGGCAAACAACATTGTATTTTCAGATCAATTCATGAGATTCAATTTTTGAAATAAATTTTTAAAATTTACTTAAAAATTGGATTAAAGAAGTAACCTTATGTTGACTTTGATAGCTAAAATAAAATTCATCTTAACAGTTTGGTGTTTGTTTTATTTTTAAAATATACTTGGCAGTGAATAGGTTAAACATGGAATTATTTTACTTTCTGAAGACCTTAAAAAATTGTTGTAACCTAGAGAAGGTTACTGAATGGAATAATCACATTAAGGTTGGTAATGAACGATAATACTTAGGACAAGAACAACACATATAAGATTCACCAGTGGTCTGTAGAAGTAGTCAACTACTAGAAGTGAGTCAAGTGAATCCCACAATGAATCTCCAACTGTAGGATATCTACCAACTGCCCCACACAGTCAGATGTGGCACAAGTCCAAATTTAATGTGGGGTATCCAAGCCTGTAGGCTCGGCCAAAAACTCCCCGTAGACCCCATATAAAACAGTATCAAGTAGCTGTTTCCTGAGACGAGATTCTGCCCTTTGAAATAGCCTTGTCTGTGGATCCTCACTGCTCGGAGGCAGAGATTTTGACCAGCACAGCTGGAGACGAATTTCCAACTGCAGGCCAACATACAGTATTTACTACTGTAAATATGTGAATGGGGACATACCCATTATTGTCTGTATGTATGCTACAACAAAAATACTTGGCTTCAACATTACATGCTAATTCATATTGTTCCATTGTATTCATAAATTTGTCAAGAATAATTTTTCCCACTTTTTGCAAATATGGGAAGGCTTTAAAAAAAAATAAATCTGATGTTTGGTCATTTGATTAGGGTGAAAACATTTTTAGCCACCCTCTTTTATAAACTGAAATGCAAAGTGAAATATTGGAAATGTAAATTTCAAATTCTAATCCCAGTTGCTATTTCACAAATTAAGAGGCTTGTCTCAATTGTCAAAAACTCAAAACAGGATGTTTTTGTGAGAAACAATTTCAACGTAACAATCAGAGTTGTTGTTCCTTGCAATTGAGATCCAATGGGATTACTTGAGAATTTAATGATTCAAGTATTTCCATAATGACGCACCTCTCAGTCAGGATGGTCAGTTCTTTTAGAAGACAAGTTATCAGCAGACAAATCAGTAGAATCCATATAAGTTCTGAAAAGAAGTCAAGGATGTCTATGACATCAAATAAAGCTCTACACTTTTGATCACTGCAGAATTTCTCCTTCAACATATTAAATATTTTTTATATGAATGTGTGTTTATTTATTCGGAGCACTCAAGATTGAAATTATTTCATGCTATAATGAACAAGAAGTCACCAAATTAAACATTGTATACACTGAAATGTATGGCAGCCTCTCTTTATTTAGTTTTTTTTTTTTTTTTTTTGTCAGTTTCGGTTGTGGTCAATTCTCAGTATATGTGAGTTCAATAAAGGAATTACTTAAAAATTACCCAAAGATTACCTCGATTGACAGACAACCGAAGAAGATAGAAACGCTGCGACTATATCACTAAAGACGCAGACATTAGTCCAAAAGGTGAATAAGGTCAATTGCATTTTTGATGACTGACATTCTGAACTTTAATAAAATGGTGTTTTGTCTGGTGATTTCATGTTGACCTTCATTCACAAATAGAAAAAAAAATGCCTTTGAGTTGAACCCCATCCTTCACCCAGATGTTCTGTCTTTTGTAGGGAAAAAAAAGAAAAAAAAAAAGAGATTATGTGAGAAATTTGTTCTTCCACAAATAATACAAGGTATTTTTGATGTAAAGTACAAGCATTCATCTCAAGGTCACATGATGGGTCATCTAGAAATTTACCATTTACTTTGACTACTGCTGCAGGTATCAAGACATATCCATTTCTATCCATCTTGATGCAATGGGAGAAGAGACATTGCCTGAGGGACAGATGCCTAAGCATCAGAATCCAATAGTTACTGGCCTCCAACCCAAAAGCAAAACATGCAATTTTGTTAGTGGGATACTAGGAGAGAGACAAGAAGACAATTCTCCTGCTTAAATTGTTAATTAAGTGGAAAAGGTTAATTCAGCAGACAGGTTAACCTTTATCACTCTGTATGTGACTTCCTTTGCTGTACAAAAAGTTTATCCTGCCACTGGAGGTGACTGATCCCTGAACAATGGTGTGTTTGAATTTCATAGTTGTGTTGTCATATCCTGCTCTGACACCAGAAAACAACTTTGAGTGAAATTAACAATAAGTTGACTGCAATTGAGAGTCCTTGGAAAAGAATGCAGTGGAAAGGGAAGTAATATTAATGATGCAACATGCTAAAAGGGCAACTTACACATTCCAGTCAACTTGATTTTCAGAATAATTTCTCTCCCAATAATCAATTGGATTTTCTGTGTTAATCCGGTTGTAAATCTTTGTTGACCGGTGTTTCTTTGTGGATGCAAAGTGGGATGTATTTGCTGAAAAGAAGAAAGGGTCAAATGAAAAAGGAATAAAATTAATATGATTAAAAATATTAATTACTGTCAATAGAAATCACATAAAATGCATGCTTTTAGCTAAATAATACAAATAATGGTAAAATGTTTTAAAAGATAATAGACTTCTGAAAGAATGTATGCTACACAGTTTGTGGTTATAACTAAAAGCATTTGCTTTAATTATGTTTTAAAAAAATTGTGAGAATGGAAAACAGGAAATTCCTAAAAAAAAACAAAAAATCAAATGAAGCAATATTAACCCTAGAAAGATAAAGTATCAGATCTATGAACCAAAAACCTTGTGCAAATAATAATAAGAAATACTTACATCTAATTCCATTGAGTTCAGTCTTCAAGTCTTTAATTAAAGCAGCCATATTCTCTTCAAATTTATTTTCATCAAGGAATGGGTACCACTGGAATCTTGCAAGCTGAAGTCGCCTAAGGAAGAAGATGAAGAAAAAAGGTAACTCTCAGAAGGAGACATCTTCAGGAAGAATGCAGATGTATCCTGGTCACCAAAATTTTAAATATTAAAATGACTGAATTTGAGAAGCTTTAGTTCTGCAAAAAGTGTTTAAAAGGCAGCTGGAGGAATTTTAGGAAGGGCTTTGAAGAAATACTCAGAAAAATAAATCATTAAATTTTTATCTTTAATACAAATCTGAGCTTTATCACAGAGACAAATCCCAGATATTTACCTCCCACTAACACTTCATTTTATGCCTTCTTCCTCCTCTAGATTTGATGGAATTGCATTTATTTCAATGTCGTGTTATAGTTAAAAACAATTAGAAATATATTAATTGTACATTACTAGTATAGAACTGTAATCTAGAAAAAACTAGTTAATGTTAATGAGAAACATGTTTTGTGATTTTATCATATATTTTTACATTATAAATATTTTAAGACATTTTTATGTTTATACATTCTTTTTATAGAAGTAAATGCTAAGTAAATGCTCTGTTTATAATAAACAGTATTAAATAACATTTACCAGCCTGAATGTCTGAGAAATTTTCAGGCTGGTAAATGTTGTTTAATACTGTTTATCATGAACAGAGCATTTACTTAAATATTTGTATCTATAAAAAGAATGTATAAACATAAAAATGTCTTAAAATAATTGTCGGACTTTGTTCATTTCATAATGTATTATAAATATTGTTACTAATAATAAAAACAGTTAAAAATCGGAAAGTTATAATAAAATAATATATTTATATTCTTTGAACATTTTAAATATCCAAGTAAATTAATGATGTATTTATTGAATTTCTTACTTCATACATATACTCAACAGTATTCTGTCAGCACCAACGAGAGAGAGGGAGAGTGGGAAAGAGAAATTTAAGATGAAGAATAGGATTTTTCTTTTTAAAATACTGAAAGAGGCTAACCTTTAATATTTAAAAAAAGAAATGGTGAAATTGCACACACATAAATTTGTTCAATAAGGGACTTGTAGAGACCCCATAACTCTTGTTACTGTGCATGGGAGAGATGGGGAGAGATTGTTCAGCTTATCAACATATATTTACACGTGTGACTTTTACTGCATACAAGTGACTCTATAACCGAGAGAGATTGGATGGGGCAAGGGACAAGGAGTGTGTTCTTGACTGAATAGTAGGCAAGCAGACAGAAGGCTAAAATTAGTTTCAGTGCACACTTACATGCCATGGTCCATTTCAGGCAACAGTTTATCCTCAGAGGCGATGTTAATAGGGAAGATACTCTTTTCCGAAATGTAAGCTAAAGCAAGTTCATCTTGGCAATACTTAGACTTGATTGATGTTTCACTAACAATAGAAATGAACAGCTGAAAAGAGAAATATAAAAAATTAAGATGTTTTCTCATTTTTAGGAATGGTCACCCACTTTTCAACAGTGACACCGGGAACAAATAAAATGCTATTAAACATTGATTCATTCAAACTAATTTCAGGTTTGAGCTGATGCACTCGTTGCACTTTCTCATTCAGTAATGTCATGACAAAAATAAAGAAAATAGTCTAAATGAATCGAGGCATAAAGGGTAATAAATAAATTTGTCTTAGAAATTCAGACAAGTAACAAAAATGGGGTTTACTAAATACAGAAAAAAAAAAGATTGCTCATTGTGATCACTCTAGAAACTGGTTCTTTTTAGATGACAATAACCTGCAAAATAACATTAAGTAAAAGATATTAAATCTGAACAATTCATATTCATTGTTATCAATAATATATTCTGTATTAATTTTTTATAATTTAAATTTACATGGTTTAATTCCTTTAAACTAAAAATTTGTGACTGACTGATTTTGATAACTACAATTGTTTGATAAAATTATCCATGGTTATAATATACAATTTCCTTTGTATAAAGTTAAAATTCATACAAATTTGAACTTCAATCATCACAAAATACACTGATGAAGTAAAAATTTGTTCATTTGCATTGAAAGTGACTTTAATTAACAAAATCTGTATAATAGAAAACTTTACAAGTATAGCGGTGGATAAATCAAATAACTATTTTATATATATATATATATATATATATATATATATATTATATTTTTTGTCCCCCTACCTACAACCTAGTCTGTATTTATACCCCAATATTATATTTGATTTATTCTAAATTTGAGCTGTGAATCTTCCTCTCATGAGACCCAGTATATTATTTTTTAAAAACCATAAGTTATATTTTGTGCCTGATGAGTTGGTAAACAATGAAATTAAAGTCGCATCCCAAACATAGGTATAATTATATTTATTAATATATAATAGAAAACGTTAGATAAAAAATGTCTGCAATTCAATCTTTGATGTAAAGATTTCCAATTTGTTCAATTTGTTTACTTAGCTTTCAAACAAATAAAGAAATGAATGGAATAACATTCAATGTTTTTTATAATGCAGTATATTTTTATTAAATGTATGTTTATTGTTATTTCATATTTTTATTATAATAGTGATAATTATCACTATTGTATAATATATTAACAATAATAATAGTAATTTGTTGTGTCACTATATATGTAAGTATTAGAATGAAAAATTTTATACATTTAATAAATGCTACTCATGACACTGCAGGTTCCATTAACAAATAATTAATATTAATTTCTTTATCCTTATTAATACAAAATTTTAGGGGACAAGCAAAATGTTAAGCTCAGAATAAGACAGACGATAAGTATTCCAAATTCATTTGATTCATACAACTTTTTTTTTTATTGGTGGTGGTGGGGGGTGAAAAAGGAGTGGAAGCAGAGGTTTAGGACTTGTAAATCAACAGAAAAAAAACAACTTTACCTTATAAAGTAGAAGTTTACTTTTAGTCAACAAGAGTTGTCAGCTGTGACAAAGTGGCTTGGCAATTCATCCAAGTCAAAATACTTCAGTGTAAAACACTTGACATTATCTTACTAACAACAGCTACACTTTTCTGCCCAGCCCAATTATATTCTCTCTCTGAATAAATGAAACCGCTTAAGTCTTTTTAAATCATAAACTAAGTCTGTAATGCCTATATTGAAATACTTTGAAATTGGAAATGGTTGGATTTCTTTTAGTAATTAAATAATAATAATAATAATGATAATAATCTTCAGGAAACTGGTCTCTTTAGGACAGGGGTCAGCAAACGTTTTATGGAAACAGTCAAGAGTAAGTGTTTTTCAGATTTGTAGCCTAAGACAAACTCAAAGTAGAAATTATATCAAACACTATATTTTTGAAACATTTTAGACCTTATTAAATTATTATTAAATAAAATAATATTTTCTGTTATGAAAAAAAAATGAATACAATTCTTTTAGCAATCATGTAGAAGAATTAATGAGAATGAAGTAAAATTCATGCTTGAGATAAAAACAAAGTCACAGTTTAGTTCACTATTTGTGTTTTCTTTAATCAAAATTGTCTGTAAATGTTGATTAGTTAAGCATATTTAACATGCTTTATCATTGGAAAGACTTTTCACATGTGCTAAAATTGCTGAAATTGCCTGATAGGATAACCTTCAGCTGAGGGAAATTTGTAAAAGTTAATTTTCTGTCTATCATTCAGTTTGTCAACAACAGGTCGATTGATTCCTTCTAATTGTAGATCTGAAAGTAGTAGGGGCACAATGATGCATAAGCGAATGAGATTGTTTTTTAATTCTATACATAATATTAAAAGTAAAATAATATTAAAAGTATGTCAGAATAATAACATTGCATATCATCTGTAAAGCTGGATGAAAAATCAGAACAGGTCAAATTTTGCTTTAGACTTTGTTTGACTGCAGTGATGACAATCCTCAAAGAGTTAAATGTGTTATCAAAATTAATTAATTTTACACTAATACTACAGGGCTGTAATAGTCTAAAAAAAAAAAAAAACTAGTCAAATTTTAATAAAGATAGTTGTTAGTGATTTTTATTATATGTTTACATCATTAAAGTATTTTAACAATTAAAATAATATTTATCTTAATATCACTATTGTGGCCTTGTTAAACTAAGTTCATTTAATAACAAAGAAAAACTGTTTCTTCATAAATCCATTGTCTATTTGAAATATTTATTATGAAATAAACATTTTATTTACTAAGACATTAATGAAAAAAAATAAAATCAGAAAAATAGTTTGTGATTAATAAATTCACAAAAATAGTTTTTACAGAAAGAAAAAAGCTACACATAGACTCTTAAGGAATATTAAAAACAAATAATTTTTTTTTTACTCTTCAATAAGGAAAATTTTCTTTTTTTGTTTGTTTTATTCACTGTACTCTTGGGTTACCCATTTCCTTAATATGTGTTTTTTTTTTCTGGTGCAGACATATTGTTTCATTACCTAATAAGAAACTTAATGCAAGCATTTAACATTTTATAAAGCAGACTATATTCAACACAAGTCCTCACTTCATCAATGCTTATCAAGCCTTTCCAAAAGTTTCTCTTCAAGAAAGTCACTTTCAATGGGAAACATCCTTAACTACTTTTCTACAGTTACAAATTTCACCATTACCAAATGTTGTATGGTTTCTGCTGTTTTGGTCCTGTTTCAATTCATACAAGAGGCAAACTCACAGTCAACTTTCAAGGCATGATTTCACTCATCATTACTATTGGAGATTTTTTTTAAAATTATTTCATCCCAAGCAATAAAACCACTAAGATGCAAGAGTATGAAAGATTATGAGATCAAGAAAAACATTAAGAGAACAAGAAAAGAACAAGAATTAAGAAAACAGAAGATAATGATTGATACTGCATTCAATTTTTTGAAGATCAAACTTGGAAAGCAAGAAGCCTAAAAAGAGTTACACAAGCCAGAACTTACGGGTTACATATGCTTTTTATGGCTTATCTAGTGGTAAATGATTTGTGTAGATTTTATGTTACGGAAAATGTTTATAGACTTATAATTCAAAATGTTTGTTTTTTTTTAAAGCTGATAAAAATGAGAGAAAAAGAAAAAAAAAAGAAAAATACATTCATCAATTATGGGTCACCTGATAAGTTGTAAAATATTAAGGATTATCTCCCTTAGTTTAAAATGGAAAAAAAAAAAATACAGTGCGTTATTTGTTTATAAAAATGTTAACCGCAGACAGGCCTTTTCTGGGATTTTTCATATCTACAGTGGTCATAGAAAGATGGCTGTTTTCAAGTCAAGATAGAGGAATGTAAAGTATGAAGAGAAGGTAGGTAAAAAAAGAGGGTGCTGGAAAATTTGTCTCATCCCACTTCCCATTCCCACCCCCTCTAAGGTGTGGTAAGCTTAAGTGAAGAACAACACAGACCAATGGCATCTCTTTTGCACTACCCCACCCTAGCTTGTCACACTCAGAATTCCCCCACCATGCCATAGGCCTGCCTGACTGGTAAACCACTATACACTTTGCTACCTCAGTGTTTGTGTGTGTGATTATCAGAAAGTACTGAAATATACATTTGTGAGAGAAAAAGCAAACAATGAGTGAGAATAAGGCCGGCCATTTATGAATGTGGTTTGCTAACTAGATACATAGGTGTACTGCAGTAACTACACACACACACACACACACATATATAGGGTGAGAGAGAGATATGGAGAGGTTAAGAATTGTGATTATGTTGAAAATCAGGCCACTTGAGATATGACACATACGTATTCAATAGTAATAAAAGCTACACACGACTGACTTACAAAAAAAGCTAAAAAAAAAAATTTTATTTGCCAAAAATCAATGGAAAAAAGAAGATAAAAAAAACAGAACTTAATGAAAATTGTAAACATCTACATAAGATTCAATCCATGAGCAGAAACACTGGTGTGAATCTCTGGCGACAGATGGCCAAGTGTTACAGTGTCTTTCTGATCTCACAACAATTTTCTTTCTCTGATAAATATCTAAACATGTAGAAATATTTTAATACAAACATGCTTCCCTTTAGCAAAAAAAAAAAAAAAAAAAAAAAAAAAACAGAAAAAAAACATTAGCTCTCTCCAGTTTAGTCATTATTTCTTATTACTATAAATGTTAGATTTGGTGGATACTCCTGTTTGAGCAGACATTTTTTTTGTAAACTGTATAATTGTCATCTACTAGCATGGCCTTTTTGAGAGTTTCTAATAGAGAAAAATGTGCCCTTTGGTTGATTTGAAGTTGTGTACCCTTTAGTAGAAAAAATGTTCCTTTTGGAGCGTTTGAACTTGCATCCCCTTTATGTAATGGAAGCTACTGTATAGGCTGGTGGGCTTTTAGAGTGCTCAACCATGAAGGACTTTCACAATGAAGCAAAGCTCAATTAATCTTTCTGTATTCAAGAGTCAAATTTTTCTCTTTTAGAATCAAGTGGTAGCTAAAACTAAAAGAAATCTTACATTTGAATATCAAAATTTATAGGGGAACAATTTTTTTAATAAAACATTAATAAAAAAATTAATCCCTTTTAGAATTTTGTGCAACAAGCTTACACTAAATTGATATCTTCTAAGACTATTGCACAAGGCTAAATGTGAAAAATAGAGGTAGAAAGACTATATTGTACCAATCTCTCAAGTGCCTTGAAAATCAATTGGCTGTTAACTGAGATTGAACACTGACTTCTAGCATTAGACAAATGCACCAAATACATTTCATCATTGTTAGGCCTGCAAAATTAACAGTCACTTTGATATAAATTATATATATCACTATTGTACATGGTTGGTTCGGTACAATGACATTACCCATGCATAACAATGTCCAAATCCTCTAATCTGACTTACAGAGTCCCAGAGCCAGGTTGGATTAACTGTTTGATAACATTTTTCAGATATCAAAATCACAGGGTTAGATTACAGAGTAACAATTTCCCAACACTTGTGATCCACTTATTATACATCTACCATGTCTTAAGTGAAGGTGCAAGTAATCTGATGGTTAATAACAGAGAATGGAATCAGTAATCCAAAGTCAAGGTTACTTGGGTAAATAACAAGGCAGCTACAGTTCCTTAGCCTTGTAAGGCAGTTGAACTGGTGCAGTGATCTTGCAACCCCAACCCAATAAAAATCCTGAAACAACAACATTGTCACTTGGTTTGGTTGCAGCTGCCTTCTAAACAAACATTGAGTTGATGATACAAACAATTAGTATTTGTGAATAAATATTTTTGGTTAGATTTTGATAGAATTAAATGTCAGTGTGCAGAACTAAACCAAGAATTGACAGAAGTAAATGGGAATTAAACTTTTTGATAAAAGTTAAAAACATTATAAATTTTTCCAAAATTATTTAATAATAAATACATAGCCTATGTTGCTATCATAAAAATAGCATTTCATTATCTTTTCTTCACCTTCTCCCTCATGTCAGTAATTACCCTGATGCAACAGCTTTTATTATGCAAATAATCTCACATTGTTTGTTTCAATCGGCAGAGATGTTCTTAATGTTTATATGCATACATGCACACATAAATGCATATAAAAAAGCTTATTGCAAGTGTCCCAGCTTATTTATATGCAAGTGCATCCACATGATTATATAACTGTAAGGTGATTGTATGCATTTCTATACATTTTCAGTGAAATTTGCAAAAGAATTAATTTCCAGTCATAGAGGAGTCAGGCTATTGCACAAAGACAAATGACAAAGAGGTCAGGTCTGTTAACCAATCAGCAGCTGCAAGCTCTTAAAAACAGACTCATAGACCAGCAAACCTGAAGCCAATTGAGAACACAGCTTATATCCAGGCTAAAACTCTCATCCTCCTTCTTCCACCATAGCAACAAAGTAAACTAGTCCCCAGCAGACATTATGACAGCCATGACAAAGCAATCCTACCTGCTAAACAGAATATTCATTTGTAGCTTTGCTTCATGGGAAAGTGCTGACAGCAGGTAGAATTTTCACAGAGGCAAAAACAGGTCAGGGCTGTTAATTGTGCTTTTAGATAAAAACATACAAGAAAAGTCACAGTTCTGTATACCAAATGGACATTATTAAACTTGTTGAATATGAAACAACCGATTATCTTCAGAAAATATTCTGGGGAGGTGTAGGCATTTAACCTATTGTAGTTTTTTGAAATTTTGTTAATGTTTTTGCCAAACATTTTGAAAAATGTTAAAGAAAGAAAAACAATTCTAGCTGACCTGGAATTGCTAGATTTGCTTAAATACAAATACAGGATATCCTGTTCAAATTTAAGCTGAAATGATTTCTAATTTGCATATACATATGTAAACTGAGATAAAATAAAATGACTGCATAGGAAAAACTTATATATTAAAAAGTATGATTAGAAATAATTTGAAATTAAATTTTAACAGGATATCCTGTATTTCTATTTGATACACAGACCCTAAGAAAACCTTGTTAACTTAAGGGGACTATCCTGTGTAAACATTTTGAAATATGTTAACAAGTGAAGAAATTCTAACCAACCTTATCTTCAAGTGATAACAAGTAAGAAACCATGTTGTTTTATTAAGATAATCAATAATGGCTGAAAGCTGATTATTCAGTGTCTATAATTAAATTGAAACAACTAATTTAATGGAGAATACATTTTTTATATTAAGCTTAACACTGTTTTTACACAGTAATTCTTTTCTTTTTCATAAGTTTCAATATTCAAAATTATAAAACGTTTTTTTGTTTATTTGAATTTTTATAATATGAAATTTAGTTTGTAATCACAAATTAAATGTCTAGTTATGAATAGATAGATTGTTGGTTTGGTTTGTTTTACAGCATATCAAACTCAATGGATTATTTAATACCAACAAAATTTTTATTTCATATAATATCTTTTCTTCGAAAATGTATAGCTGGTAATATCTTTTTTTTTCAAAAATGTATTGCTGGTAATAAAATTTTTTTTTTTTTTCAAATTATTTCTGGTATTAAAACCTATTTTTACACTTACATAATGTTTTAATCCCAGTTTGGGGGCTAACTATTTACCCATAGTTGTGACCCTAATAGGTACTACCACCCCGGGTCAGGGTGGACCTGGGAACACCAGCAATTAAGAGGTGGTTCCACACTCTTCAAAACCTCCTGATCAAAGGTCATGCTGTTGGACGTAGTTTATCGTCTTACCCAGGACGCGGATGTAGTTTATCATCATACCCATGACAGATGAAGAGATAGAATCTATAAATACAATTTATAACAGATATTAATAAATGCAATAAACTAAAGAACGAAAAGAAAAAAAACAATGTCACTTATCTCACCTGACATTCAATAATGGCCTGACCAATTTTCTTCAAGAAGTCAACTCCAGCACCAAGATTTGTAGTATCGACCCAAACGCTGATATTGTCTTTTTCAAGATTTTCTGCAGGAAAAAAAAACATATTTCTCAGTTGAACAGATGTAAACAAGAGAAAATGTTGTCAAATTGGAAAAACAATAAATAAAACACAATTAAAATATGTTGCAATAACTGTAATGACTTTCTTTATTGATGCAAACCTTAAAGTCTAATATTATTTAAAGAGGAAATCACTTTGTACAAAGACATGAACACCATTGAGCTATTCCAGCTAATAACTGATGTTTAAATTGCACAACACTAAGCATTGAACCATTGATTTGTGTATCCTTTTCTGTGTTCTCTTCACTGAGCTATATTTTTGGTAATGTCATTTTATTTTATTTTTTTTTAATTGCAATGATATACATAATGTATAATTCATTCTGAAAACTCTTAGTTTTTTTTCTTGTTTTAACAGTCAAGTCAGTTTTGTTTCCTTTCTTTGTGAAGAATAAAATGGGTGGAAAAAAAAGAACATCTTTTTTTCCTTTCATTTCAATTGTTTGAAGCTGACAAATGAAAATAAAAAAGAAAATACATTTAAAATTATTGCTTACAGAGAAAACATTTCCTCAATAATATATAAAGATTTTAACAAAACAAATATAAAAAGTTTAAAACCTAGCTAAAAGAAATATGCTTACATATATAAGCACAAAAGTATATATATATATATATATATATATATATATATATATATTAGTTTAGCCTAGTTTTGTTACAAGGTCACTGGCATAGAGTATAATGAGAATCAAACATTGTAATAAGGATTTGAGATCAGTTTTTTAACCATTACCCCATAACAATATATATATATATATATATATATATATTGATAATATTAGTGGTAAATATACACATACATATACAAAATATATAAATATATATACATACATACATGCATGCATACACATACATATATATTTTGTATAAAAAAATTCCAAGAGGATAGAATCAAGGTAGAACTCAATGTCCAGGACAGAGTAAGAATATAATAAAAGGCTTAAACACTAATATTCCAGGGTCATAATTTATTCCATTGGAATTGTAAATACAAAGGTCTGATGAATTGGATCGATTTACGATTCCAATGGAATAAATTATGACCATGGAATACTAGTGTTTAAGCCTTTTTTATTATATAAATATATATATATATATATATATATATATATATATATATATATATATATAAAATGAAACAAAAGGTGGTTCATGTGTGCTTCTTATAATCTGTAGAGTAGATAGGTTGGTTAATAAAATAAAGGACAAACGAAAAGATACCAATATAGTCAGTACAAAAAATATTTATTAAATATCAACCATTTGACAGAAATGAAGCACAGAGAGAAATGTTTAAACATCAAAATGTTTGGACACACCTTTGTGTCCTTTATCAATGATCCAAGGAACAAACAGAAAATGGGGATTACTCACTAACAAATGTTTTTGTGAAAAGGTATTTTTTTTAAAGCCTGATCCCATATATATATATATATATATATATATATATGATATAAATATAGTTTTAAGGTATGCTATATTTATGGGTTTGGGGATTCCGTTCCTTTTTTTCTTCTTCTAGACCTGGTGTCAATCATGGTTGAAAGAGCCCAGTACTATTTAATCCATAGCTGGGAGGAGAAGAAATGGATTCATATTTTCTCCAAAGGTATTTGCATGAAAATAAATGCAACAAACTATTGGAATTCAAATTCAGGCCATTACATCACATGTATACACACAAACACATGCATATACATACGCAATGGTGTGCTGTAAATTTCTTTGTCCAGACCACTTTTCAAATGACATAAGATTACCCACATTTAAAAAAAGAAATTGTAAGTTGGGATATTTGGTGGGACAGATACAAGTACTGATAGTCTAACCCAATATTATTGTATTATTAAATTTATGTAGCAAGAGATGGTCTTATATACCATCAAATATGGTGTGTGTGTGTGTGTGTGTGTGTGTGTGTGTGTGTGTGTGTGTGTGTGTATACACTACAGTTCAAAAGTTTGAAGTGATCCTCAGAATTAGCATGGGATGAATTTGACAGAAGAGGGAAAAAATGAAAAAACCTCTTAGTGTCATTGAAAAAAGAATGGAATCAGTTATCAAACTTTGAGAAACTTTTGCAATGAATGCCAAAAAATTGTGCTGCAGTAATCAAGCCTAAAGGGGGATATTTTGACGAGAGCAAAATTTAATCATAAAATGATTTTTTTCTTTTTTTTGTCATAATAAAATTTCCAATAAAAAATCATGTCTCACTTTCTTTTAACCATGTATAATAATTTTCTCTTATTTAAAGTACAAAACAACTAGTCTTGGACCAATTTAAAAAATTCACAGGGGCACCTCAACTGTAGTATATATATATATATATATATGACATATATATATATACATATATGACAGATAATACATCAATAATTCAATCAATATTCAGAAAGTGTTTCAGGAAATATGTGTCTGCAAAAGTTCCCAGCAGTCTTTTCTGAAAAACTAGAGTCTCCAGGGCCGTAGGAGAGATTTTTTTGATAGTTTTTCTTGTATTTCTTTCTCTATTGTATTTTGTTAAAATAAAATTTTGTAAAAAATGCTTTGGGGGTGAGCTAAGACCCCCACCCCAGTTGCTACGGCTCTAGGTTCAGTACAGAGTTGAAAAAATTTGTTTTGCTGGAAACCTTTGCCTACACATAATACATGGAAATTTATCAAATGTTTAGTAGCCACTAGTGAGTTGAAATGCAATAATTATTTAGAATAAAAACAATAATTATAGTCACAAGTCAGTTTAAACTATTTTTAGTCATGGGACAAAATAAAATATTGAAATATTTTTTTAATTTCTGTGCTTAATAATCCAAATGTCCCCCTGAAATACTGCATCATTTTATATGATTAATAAATGGTATTTAGTTTAAATGTACTCATGACTAATGATTTTAAGAACAGTTTAGATTCCTGTAATGATTCACCATGTGTACCAGAAAGAGGCTGATGATAATTATGGAAAGAAATAAAGCTAATTAGAGAGAAATATGTATGACAAATATGTTTTATGAAATATAACCAGGATATAAGTAACAGATTTAATACATTATACCAAATTGTACATTATCTGTAACAATACTGTAACAGGCATTCATAATGTCTGTGAGGTGTTCAGCTTTTCAATTTACTTGTTGAATTTGAAAAAAAAAATAACTGGTTTCAAAACATTATTTGGATAAATTAGTTCAGAGTGTGGAAAGGGAAAATGAAGAGAAACAAAGCCACCCACAGGTCTAAGCTTGTAACCTAAAAATATATTTTTTACCCAGTATCCCTTTCTGTTTAAATAATTAGCTGGTCTCACTCTCTCACTCTCTCACACACACACACACACATACAAAAGACTATACAAATCATATTTTCACTGGTAGAATTTTTGTTCCATTGGGAGTATAAGATGAGTTGCCTTTCTGGTTCATAACATACTTACAATCTTTATTTGCAGCTTACCTAAATAATGTGAAAATTCAATAGACTGACTTATACAGTAATTGAATGATTTTGGTATACTAATAATCCCCTGTACCTAAATCAAAATAAGTTATAAAAAGAATGTTTCCACGTCTAAAAACAAAAAAGAATAATAAAAAAAAACGTTTATTTTTGTTTTAAATATAAACTTTGGTAAAAAAAAAAAAAAAAAAATTAAAAAAAGAAAAAGATGGAGGACCCTCTTTAGAGTCATTTGTTAAGAGTTGGAAACACATTTGGCAACAGCTCTGACTTTTTGAACTTTAGTCAGGAACAACACAATTCAAAGCAGTTTGGAAAGAGACATGAAAACTAAATACTGACCGATTAAAAATGAAAAGCAGATTGCATGAAAATTACAAAGTGAATATTAGTGCAACTGTCCACATAGCTGAAGTGGAAAAGGAAGGAATAATTTTAAAATGCTGATGAGAGTGGGGTCAGTGAGAGAACAGAGTAAATGGTGGAGAGAGAGAGGTGGGGGGACAAAGAAAAAAAAAAAATCATGAATACAAAGCTGTAGATTGAAAGAGAAAGAAAGTAGGCAATGAAATGTAGTTTCCTGTAATGCACTGATTCATGGAGACTGGAACAAGTCACGTATTTTTAAAACACACACACACAAAGATATCATATACTCTCCCTTGCATAACTTGGGAAAATCCAAATTATATTCTTAGTCAATGATGTTGTTACTGAGACCGCCTTTGTGATTGTAAATGTTACTCACCCCACATGATAAAATAAGCTGGGTTTTACCCGGACAGGTTTGTCTTATATCAACAAATAAAATATAGATCATCATAACAAAATCACTTGAAGGTCGCCTAAGCGTGAAAGTGGCAGTCACACATACATTTTCTTCACTTTGATGTTTTTTCTTCTTCAGACAGACAGAGCACTGAAAACATTTATTAATAATGGCATTTTCTTTGAATTTGGTAAGAATTTACAAAACTTAATAATATCACTCCAAGTTTCATCAGGCTCATTTACTTAAACAAATGTTAAATCAATGCTGTACCTACTTTGTATACATTTTTACAAGTGAGACAAGAATAAGTGTGAAACTATGAAACTATCCAGTGAGGGTTAAAAATTCATGGGTCATTCTACACCCTCGAGCCATTTTTTTTTCTGGTGTCTTGGAATTCAAATCAAGAGGTGTGACTTCTCACCCCACTATCTACCCGAGGGGATATTAATCCTTTTACTTACTCGCCTTTCAATGTTTGACCTGGAGTTGAACTTCCAACTAATTCATTTTTAGGATAATCAACTTTCGAACTTAATTGGAACTTTACAAAGTTTTCTAATGTCTATTCTTATGATATTTCTTTCTAATATGACCATTGTTCCAATAAAACAACCTAGTTCTTTCTTTACTTAGCCATGCTTAGTATGGTTCAAGGCCACAACTGTAGAGTACCTAAAGATTTATCTGTTGACAGTATGTACTGCCAGACTAAGTTATTCTGCTACTCATAAGGTGCGTGACCATGGTTCAAGGATTAATAAATATCAGAAATTAAGTTTTTTTTCTTTTACATTTCGTTATTGACAAAGAAAGAAAAATATTTAAAAATTTAAACAAACAAATAATAACTACTGAGAATCTATTTCCTGGCAATCTATTCTTAATTCTCAAGATCATTTTTTTTTTAAAATATCTCATTTTTTTTCTCCTTTCAAAATTTTAGTGGGTCTTCAATACCAGAAATCAAAGTAGTAACTCATTTCCTAAGAATAATAATTTGAGTAAAAAATCTATTTTTAAGAGTTTTTAACTCAAATATAGGAAAGAATTATGATTAATTTCTTTTCTTCATTGCTGAGTTTCTAAAAATTTCTGTTACGACAGGAGATAAAAGTTATTAAAAAAGAAATGTTAGTATTATTATTATTGTAGCAGATGCGGACAATCCTTTTTAAAAGAATTTTTTATTGTTTTTTTGTTTGTTTGTTTTTTTAAGCGCTTCACCCCAAGCAAGGCGGGAAGCCACTAGCACGTAAGGGGTTACACTAGAGTTGGAGATAGAGCAAATAGGAGTGATAGAGGAAAGGATGAAGAGGAGGAGAGAGGATAGATCAGGGCATCTGGAGACGTCGATTGACATTACATTTGAATAGTTGGAGATAGCTATCAGGGGAACAGGAAGAGGGGAGAGAGTTCCACAGGCGAGAGGTGCGAGACATGAAGCTATTGGAGTAGAAGAGACGGTTACATTTATTTTAACAGTTTCGTCAGTGAAATGGTGAGAGCGAGTTACCATAAAGTATTTGTAAAAAAGACAGAGGGAGGTGACGGCACATCTGTGAGAGAGCGACTGCAGACGAGATGCCAGATCAGGGCCAGTTACGTTGCATATCCGTCTCTGGATCTTATCAAGAACCTTGAGACAAACAAAAGGGGCACCAGACCATATATGGCAGCAATTACTCCATGCAAGGGCGAATGGTTGATTTATAGATTTGAAGGATCGACTCCGGCGCGAAAAAATTCCTGGCGCGGAACAGGGAGCCGACTTTTTGCTTATCACTTGATGGAGAAAGAATGTGAAGAGAAGAACATTGTTCCAAACTTTTTTCACATATTGCAAAGGAATCAATAGACATTAAAACTGCAAAATGGGCTTCTTTTGGGGGCATTTCAAATTCATTTTTTTAGAGTATTAGAATTTTGTTTATTTTAGGCTAGCAAACCCTAGATAAACTATAAACCACAACTACACCAAATGATACTGATGTGTTTCTAGTAGAAATTTTTTTTTTATGAATGGAAAAAAAAGTGAACACAAACTTGTCTCAGCTGTGATTTGAATTTAATTCATCGATCCCATTTCTTCTAATTAACCGTAAAGCCATCTTCAACTCTCATAACACTGACTGATATATTTCCATATTTAGCAGAGACACCTTAACTTGGGAAAAAAGCCTCGTTGATAAAGTTCAAAGTAAAATTCTATTTTTATGTGAGTGCATCAAGTATGAAATGAAATGCATTTTTATCAATGCCTTCACACAAAAATCCGTCACATCATTCATAAAATAAACATCTTTGATACTCCACGCTCTTCTATGGACTTACACTAAATTAATGTGGTTAATTCTTCCGATATACAAGTCAGTCAAGTTAAATGTAAGGGATCTAAATATAGTACAATATTTTTATGTGGAGGTGGAGAGAAAATTTGTTTTTAAAAAATTTAAAATTTAATTTGCTTTCTCATGGTAGATGAGGACTGCTATGTCTTTTTTCGTCTTAAGTTTATCAGGGAAATAATTTGCAAAAGCTGAGAAAAAAAAAGGATTTTTTTTTATTTGTTTGGAAACTTAAAAATATAAGACTCAAAGAAAATCTATCATTAGTATTTGAATTTGTTGACACCTGATTTAGACAAAATAAATAAAAAACCTGTAAAGACAGAAAAAGATAGAGACACATTGAATCAAAGTGAGAGATGAATGTTGGCAAACATTTTCTCTCTGGTGGCAATGGTCAGAGTTCAAACCCAAGTAAAAACTCAGTCAGTCAGTTATATGTGCCATGCGTGATACACGCTTAGGTGATCATGTATCTTTCGATACATGACTCTGACGCAGCAGATTTTTTCCCGCAGTAGGTTGCCATTTCTTTTTGCGGTAGACCAGTTGCTATCCAAGGCTATAGAACTGTCCTGCATTTTCTTCCAAGGCTATAGAACTGTAATATCCTTTCTGTCTTCTCCCCCATAGCTGGGCAGAGAAGAGGAGGAAGGGTATTAGCACGTAAGTGAACGTAATGGATTCGACTGGAATTCGAACTTGGCTTTCCGATTCTATTTTAATTTTCCATATTCTGAGCTAAACTAATAAATAAATAAAATCCGCCTCATGCCTAAGTGATCAAACACAGTAGGAAAACCGAAAAAGTCTTTACTGATTTCTCAGCAGGTAGGTCTTGCTTGCTCATTTAAAAATTTAAAAAAAAATTAATACAAAACAATCTTCCTATTAGGAAATAACTCTCAAAGTTAAATCATTCTTCAAAAATCAAAAGTATCAACATTTTTTTTTACTGCTATTTTTATTTTTATTCATACGATTTTTAAAAAAATATCGGCTTAAAAAATTCTCTAATTAGTAAATGACATTTAAAAAATCTAATGACATGTCTTTTCTTTAAATTTTTTTATTATTAAATTTGGTATCCGCTCAGTTTTTTGTTGTAACTGGTTGATTGTTTCCTTGCATGACAATTTTAAATTGAGATGTTAGTTAAACAATGAGATGTGGTGGATGTGTGGCTAGTGTAATTTTAATAAATAATAAATAATAATGATTATTGGCCCAGAAAGAAGAATCGATATTCAAATTCGAGCCTAATCTACTACCTTTATGAGAAAGATATGAATCCATCACTCCAGCTCTAGGTTAGGAGGGTAGACTAAACTCTGTAGCTTTGGGTGGTAGCCAATCTACAAGAAGAAGAATGACTGAATTCAAAACCATACCATAGAAAACCATTCTTCAGAAGTCATGGTAATCCACAGATAATAAGAAAGGAAATCTGTAGAAAACCATGTTCGCCTACGTCCATTTTTTCAACCAGTGAAATTACTTGTTTCTACAAAAACCTTATATATCATTATGCAGTTTCTCTAGAACATTTTTAATTTAAGTCTTCCTCAACCTCACCAACCCTTTACCCTTGACCTCTTGCCAGACTGAGATCAACAAAATAGACACACATAGAAAACAAATTTTAAAGCAGACTGATAATGTTGAATGAGAAATACACCGACAAAAAGGGCATACAAATTAACAACCCAATTCGAAAAAAAATGGGTAATTTAGCAGTTAAATGCATTCACAGAGTCATTTAAATTGACTTACCTTTCAACTTCAGCATAAAATCTTTATTACCATGGCTGTAACTTATCATAAGATCTTTAAAGATCGGTGATGTAACACTGGGCAATCTGTCAACATCTGGATTCTTATTTTCCGGTGGTTTTTGTAGCTTTGGGATGCCAAACTCTTTCTTTGCATTTCGTTTTCCTAGGCAATTTGACTTGTTGCCCATCTGAAGATTAAAAGGAAAAAAGTATTTAGAGAGTCTTTTCAACAATAGGTTAATTAATTAATATTCCAATCAGCTTGGTATATGAAGTGTTTAAAAAACTGTGAAGCAAAGTGTCAAAGTATTTCACATTTAAATTTAAAGCAGAAAAGACAAAAATGACTAAAAAAAACTATAACAAAAGGTTAGTTTAACAAAGAGTAGTTTAACAAAGAGTAGTAGTTTAACTAAAAAGTATTTTAAAGTCTTCTTGGGACATTCATGTTTCGGGACTGGATTTTAAAAATATTTCTATTTTAAAGAAAGCCCTTGTATATTCTATTTTTTAGCGTCAGAAACGTTGGACATCCGCAAATACTGAATTGCCTAATGTTTAGCTAGCCTCATATTCTGAGCATTTTTTTTTTTGTGAATAAGATAGGAAATACAATTCAGTATTTTTGTAAGCCAAAAATAATGGATTAACTTTAACATCGATTCCTAAAACGAAAAATACTGAAAGTGAAATACAATTTAAATAAATCGAACTAAATGTCAATGAGATTTTGCGGCAATGAAGGACAAAATTATTATTTCTTTTTATAAAAAAAGCATGTTCAGAATATAAGGCTAGGTAATGCAAGCTAAGAATTCAGTATTTGATATGGCAAACTTTTCGGACGCTAAAACTGAAGATACCCGAATTGTTTAAAAAAAATAAAAATGTATTTAAATTTAATTATCTCTCATTTCTTGGTTTTATTTCCATGTAAAAATTTTGCTTTGCAATTAACATCTTTTTCCCCGCCAAAAAATGATACAGAGAAGGTTTTCATATTAATCAGGAGGATGCAAGAAGCAAAAGATTTGACAACATCCTGGAGAAGGAAAAAGCCAGTCAAAATGAAAACTTCATTTTCATTTCACCCTTAAATTTCAATAGCATTGGTAAAAAAAAAAAAAAAATTAAACTCAATCTTGTCCTTTACGTTTTTTGTAAAAGAAAATGCCAAAATTATTTCTCACGAAAACAAAAAAAAGCTATGTTTTCAAACATGTTTTTAAGAAAAAGGGATGCAATGCGGCGATTGACAATTCAAGCCACGTTTTAAAAGTAAGTAAAACATTGTCATACAAAAAACAAGGTGTAGTATCGAAAGGCCGAGTTACTTATTGTTTTTAAAAATTTTTATACCACTTTAAAACGTTTTTTAGTTTCTCATAATAATTGGTAAAGTATTGAGGTAGCTAATAAAACTAAAAGTAAACTTGCAAAAAAAAAACGCAAACAAAATTATTTAAGAAAAACAAAAAATAAGTTTTCTTACAATTCGAAGAAAAATGTTCAGTTCAGTGTGTATACACTGAAAAGAAAATAGTATTTGAAGTCATAAAAAATATTTCATAACTTTTCCTTTACAAATGAATGAATGAACAAATTTTTTTTTTTTCGAAGAAAAAAAAAACACACACACTTTGTGATAAGACAAAGGAAAGTTTTTGAAAAATCCATGTTTTTTCTACTGTAAAAAAATAACCTGTCGATAGATTTCATTTTTTTTTAGCTATGATGAAATTGAAAAAAAAAGGTCGTAATAGTTCACAAAATAGTTTCTTTAAAAAAATAAAAAAGGAACATGTTTTTTTGTCATTGACTAACAACACTACAAATAGTAACACTGAGAGGAAAATAAATAATAAAAAAACAGCTCGTATAATTATTTTATCAACGGCAGATGATTACGAATTTTAAATCGAAAAAAATTAAAAATGTATTTTAAAAAATTTCAAATAAGAAATAAATTTTTTTTTTTTTACAGAAAATGAAAGAAAAAGAAAAAATATATTTACGTTTTTTGTTTTTTTTAAGAAATTTCGCCAATTCATGGAGACTGTCTTGCGATGCACACCACAGAGGGCAGGCACTGTCTACGGAAAGTTTAAAGTGTAGTAAAAGAAAACTGAATGGAAAGCTCGGTCGGCGAAAAGTATATATATCCTCTCAGATACAGTGGTGGGCAAGTAGGTAAGGGCGTCGGTGGATGTGATTAGAAATAAATACGCTGTACACACGCACCAGCAATACAAATAGCCACGCCCACAATCAGCCTACGTAAAAATTTAACTGGCCAATGAGAGATCAGAAAAGTTATTTTTGCTCTCTTCAACCCAACTCACCCCGACCTGCTCTAATTCATTAAAGTTAATCGTACTCGTGTATGTTGGAATGTGCTCTCTCTCTCTCTCTCTCATACACACTCACTCACTCACTCACTCACTCACTCACTCACACACACACACACATACACACACACACACACACTATTTTGTCGTGAAATACATTCCGGAAGACGAATTTGCCGTTACCGTAAGTATGTGTAGTAAATGTGGAAGTCAATTTTATCGATGGTTGTTATTGACAACCAGAGAAAAAATTCTTCATTCGTACAACAAATTGTGAACTAAATGAGTAAAAACTTAAACACTAAAAACAGTCACACAAAACCAGGTACCTTTTTACTTTTTCGCTAAAAAAAAAAACAGCATGATGAAAAAAGGCCCCAAACTTAAACAAAGTTTTATCGTGAAAAAACAGGAAAAATAAATCAAGATTCCAAAATTCGAGTAATAATAAAAAATAGAAAGAAAAAAAAAAGTTATAATTTACTTATGTATTTTTCTCTGGCAAAAACGGAGTTGGTACACGACTTTTTTTTTCTCCCAGCAAAAAAAAAAAAAAAATTATCTTAAAGCAAAAAAATCTTTCGAGTCCATTTTTGGAAGAGTGAAACTGAAAAATATGTCGCTTTTTTGTTTATTTCTCTTACGTACATACACACTTTTTTTCTGTAGTAAGGGTGTAACAGCTTTTGCTGTGACTGTTTAAGCAGGTAAAGAAGACAGGTTTTTAAATTTTGCCCAAGTGAAAGTGCTCACACACCCACTCTTCTTTGTCAAATAATGTTGAATCGTTTTTTTGTGACTTTTGTCAAGCTCTGATGGTGGGACAGAGCACAACAATTTCCAAGAAAATTCCATAGTTCGCATTCACAAATTCATTTTTCCAAAGTGTTGTTGACTAACCACTAGTGTTTGTTATTAATGACTGAAACCTCGCATAGTAGCAAACACATACACATATATTGTGTAATTTTTTTAATTTTTATTTTGTGATATGGGGAAGGGGCGTTCACTGAAGTGAAGTTCACTTGACGCGTGAAACTAACAGTTGCCATACAGTTTTGATTTCTATATCTACGCACACTATTTTTCCTAAACGTTATATTAAAATTTTTAAATATCAAATTAAAAATATAAATAGATTAGCTACAATAAGAGATCAAGAAAAATAACAAACAAATCCACATAAAACGCAATGCACACACGCAGATTGTTTAGAGAACTTGCTATATAGGGAGAGTGCGCAATATTGGAGAGAGAGACAGTTTGTAGACAGTGTGGAAATAGAAATCGACACTGCATGTTGACTGTCAGTTTTCTGCCTCAGTGTGATCTTCATAGCAAGTGCCACTATTCCTTTTAACGCTCTCTCTATCTCTTTCTCTCTCTCTCTCTCTCTCACACACACACATACACACTCGCACTCTCTCTCTCTCTCTCTCTCTCTATCTCTCTCTCTCTCTCTCATATATATATATATATATATATATATATATATATATATGGGGATAAAGGAGATAAGTGGCCTTTCCCAGTTTTTTTGTTTAGGGCTAAAATGCTTTACGGTATTTATTTATGGTTATGGCCCCTAAATTGCTTATTTATTGATTTATTTATTTGGTTTGCGTATTTTCTTTTTCTTCTTCTTCTTCTTCTTCTTCTTCTTCTTATTATTATTATTATTATTGTATTTGGAATAAAGTTTATTATTACATTTAGGTTATGCAATTTATTTTGTCTCTTTGGACATTATGAGATTGTACGTAGCGTAGTAGGAATTTTGTTTTCGTGTCTGCATTTGGAAATTAGCTTTCGTTGCGGAGTAGCGGAACACAACCCCCACCCACCCAAGATGGACTGGCCGAAGACTATTTAAACACCACTCTCTCTTACTGAGGTGCGTGCGGGGGATGTTAACGATTAACTGTTTATTACATTATTCTGTGTACTCAACCGTGTACTATATTATTCTCCGGAATAAACTACTTATTTTCTGTATGTGTGTCAACCGTTCCTATTTATGACTTTGGCCTTTTATTATGGAGTTTAACTTGTTCTAGAAATGTAATTATCGCTGTTTCTCCCTCTAGGTAAAAGCTACATCATTTTGCTGTGTAAAAATGATCTAACCTGTTTGATATATAGTGGACTGTCTCGTTGAATTCAACATAGGAGGGCCCAACAATTCAGTTTTGAACTGAACCCC